CCCCTCTCAGTGTACCATTACATAGAGAGCTCAAAATACTTTCAAGTCCAGGATACTCTGAATGTGTTTGCCATTAATCCTAAGAGAAGATTTTGCATGCTGCAGCACCTTTCACTCTTCCACTCACATTGCTGACAAGCCCTCGGTTTCCTGCGTCTGTTTCTTCACCTGGAAACGGTTCGACCAAGGTGAAAAACTACAATCTTAAAACACCCAACGGTCGACATTGATGCAAATGAAACCTCAAAGAGCACTAGTGTCTGAAACCTAATTTAGCGGTTTTACATGGTTTTACACTTCCTCTTTGAGGCTGCCTGGAGATACTCTGAGCTTTCTAACCCCGGCTATTCAGGCTGACATGTGGGTCACATTATAATTGTGGTTTTTAGAATTAATGAAGCTGTTTTTACACTTTGTTTTCACAGGGCATAAAACAGGAGGGGGAGGAAAGTGGCTACGAGCGAACAAGTGATGTGTACAGAGACCTGCGCACTCTTCTGAAGAGCAGATCTCCACATTTAGCTGAGAACATAAACACGCAGGTACAGTGGGATATAGCAGATGCAATTATCATTCATCCACACAGTAGGACCTCCTCTTTCTAACCTTGGATTTTATCTCACAAAGTGTGGATGTGTGGGTGATGAAATGGCTCTTTGTTCCATAACAAGGTCCTTTTTTCTAACCTCTGATTTGATCCCTGATACTGTGTGACTCACATGCATAAACACAGTTAGGGTTGTGTAATCAGTGTCTGTGCTGCTCAACGCTAGTGAGCTAGTGTCTGGTTGTCACTGTGTTGAAACATTTCTAAAAACCTCCAACATCCAAACAGCACAGCCCCATCTCACACACACACACACACACACACACACACACACACACACACACACACACACACACACACACACACACACACACACACACACACACACACACACACACACACACACACACACATAGACAGACAGACACACACATTCTCATTTCCAGACATAGAAATACGCGTGATTTATTCAGTCGTGCTATTTCCTGCTTTGGTAATTTGACGACATAACAAATCGCCTCAATAATAGATCCCAGCTGCGTCCAGAAATCTGTTAATCATTTAAAAATATCTCACACTGATGTTTGTTGGAAAATATGGCATCATCCATGCTTTACAGACCACCTACTGCCCACTGCAGACTTTGTATTGATCTTGTATCTTTACCATAAATAATTGTATTGTTTGCTCTTATGTCATCCCTGTCAAATAAAGTGGGAGGTAAGTTGTCTTTAAACAACCATTAATGTGAAATATTTACAATCAGCCATGCTAGCATACTGCTTATACGTAGATTTGTACATGGTGGTTGGTCTACCACATTGGTCAAGACTGAAAAATACACTCAACTTTTGCATGGATTGCACAGCGTAATGACTTTGGATTCACATCAACATCACCTCTACATTGATAACAGAATGTTAAAATGCTAACAGGCGTCTAAGAGGCTAAACATCAACAGTAAGCTTTAAACACTGCTTCGTGGTTGTACACCATTAGACTATAGATTAGATTATGTTTACTGTGCAATTTTATTTGTATTTGTTATTTGAGTGTGATATGTATGCACCATATGGAAAGAAGAAGTAGTGTAACCCCAACCATGGCATGTACTACTACTTTTTGCTAACAGTTTCACAATGCTATGCTCCTTATTCTATTGATTAGAACATAACCATTGTGAGAGACTAGTACATTGAAGAGGCAAAAGGTGAAGATTAAAAAATTTCTGAAACCGCAATTGAACCGCTCACAATTGAGTGACTAGAAAATAGGAAGTAAATGAATAAATGATGGAGGGAATCATTTTAGACACAGCCTAGTTAAATGAAAGCTATTCTTAGATTATATTCAGGGGTGCACACAACTTTCTCAGTGAGGTACTCAGATGAGTACCTGGAGTCAGTGTTTGGTACTCCAACGTCTGGCTCCCCTCAAAGTTCCCATGAAGCCCTCTGTATCTCGAACGTCAACGGGGGGGGGGGGGGGGGTAGTGGAGTGCAGAGCTTCGTGACCACAGAGCACATCAGCTGTTTTAGCGCAGTGCTGCTGTACAGACCGACGTTAACAGCAGCCCTGTCAGCCCTCTGTCGTCCGGTGATCTAACCGCCTTCTGGAGAAGCTTCACAAGTACGTCGGTACCTATGGTCGGTACGCAAATGCGCTTTGTGACACAAGTGACGGTACGCATTTCAGATTGTTGCCGCGCATGCATACCTGCGTACCACTTATGTGCACCCCTGATTATATTCCATAGTTTACAAAGTTTTCATTATATATACGTGGAGTAGATATTGGACCGTCCATATTGCGAGCTGGAATGGGGTTAGTAGAGACTTTAATAAACCAATGTGTAGTGCCAGGCCGAGGCGTGTAAAAAAAGACATTCAGGCTTTTATGTTTTACGAGTCCTGTGTGAAGAGTGATGCTTTGAGTCTGAACATTCTAAAAGTGATGGACAGCCGCAGTAAACTTTGCTGTGAACCAGTTTGTGGGGGCACAAATCATCGTCAGGGTTTCTCTCTTCTGGATTCTTTACCCTCTTTGATATCAGCCTTGCATTGTCCGGTTACTTTTGTTTCACAATAACTTTTTCTCTCCCTCAACTTGAGCCAATCATTTGATGGGGTCAACTTGAAAACTGCTTTGAAACTCCTTCGGTTGATTGCCGACGACAGCAATCCAATGGCGCAATATGCATCCCATGTCAGAAATTAAGTAATTGCAGTCATGATATCTTCCAGTTTTTATTTGATAGAGCTACGGCAGTCTGTCAGAAACACGATCTCGCATATCTCTGTCTCGCTTCCCTGATTGCAACACACTTGGAAGGCGAACGCCAAAGATAACAACACCTAATCTCCAAACACATCATTCCAAAGTGAGGAAGCAGGTCTTTTTGAGTACTTCTATTAGATCAGACAGCCTCAATCAAAAGAGCAGAGGCAGCCAGAGGAGACTGCAACACGGGGAGGAAGCTGGCCTGCCCCCTCTGCTCCCTGTTGTGGATTCATTTTGACATCACAGTGATTGGAAATTGGACATGCGATGTATTTGCATGCACACGACGCTCGCTGAAGAGCAAAACCTCCCTGGTTTGTAAGATTTGTTATTCATTTTGAACATCCTGAAATTAATTAAGACTGTCACAATGAGTCAGTAGAGAATGTGACAGATGTTATATGGCCGATGGCTTCAGATTTGCTGCCCCGCTGATTTTCCATCCGTATGGATCAAGTGATTAGACGCAACTCTCCGCCAAACACATGTAAATAGTTGGACGCTTTAGCAGTGAAATTAAGGGATACAAAAAAACTGCTAATGATTGAATGTCACCTAGTATAAAAATGTTTGCAGGCGTCAGGGCTGCTTAACACAGCATTAGTCTCCAGACTTCTAGTGTTCTCAGATGAATAAAGGCACCTGTAATGGGACTTTTTTACTATGACATGTCAAGAAATGTGGAGTGTTTCCCTCTGTGTGAGCGCATGGTCTTTCTCCATTTCACATATAATAGAACTAAGGAAGGTTGTTTCGCCTAATAAAGTCAGACTGTGGCTCTGTGGTTGGCTGAATTGACTTGTATGTTTCCAATAGCGGGTCACTTTGTGTTTTATGAAAAACAAGTCTTTGGAAAAGCGATTGGCTCCAGCTCGAACACAATCCCTCGGAATACATCTTAATTATTTCCCCCTTGCCTTTAAAACATGTTGAGCCCCTAACAACCAATGACAGTGTGAGCTGTTTCTGCAGAGCAGGTGTCTGTGATTAAAACATTCTCCTGCCTGCAAACCATTCATATGTGTCTCATTGGCATTCGTGTATAGGTTGTAAAAGTTTGGTATAAAAGCCTTCAAAAGAAAGAAAGTCATAACTGAATAACAGTGACACAAAGGCGTTACTCTGTCTGTGCCAAGCTGCAAGGCTTTAGGTGGAGGAATGTACAGAAACAATAAACGTTTTGATATTGTTCAGCCAATTAACAGAGGGGGAACCTCTTCTGTGTAAAGCATGGGGAACGTGTTATTCTACCTCTATGCCTCAATAAAGACTGAATTGTTATTCTTTCGAGAGCGGGTTTATGGTAATTTGATGTTTTTCACGTGTCATTGATACTGTTCTGTAGTTTAACATGACTTTTCTGGGAACACTTTGTCAGACAGTGTTATGTAACGTGTCTCAAATAATGAAGAGAGAGGCATCGTGTCAGATGGAAAATATGTTTCAGTAAACTGTCTAATTTCTCCAATTTGGCCACATATTAAAAAGCTGTCTTTACCTCTCTCTCCTGTCTTTGTCTTTTTTCCCCTCACCAACAGGATTTTGCAGTGCAAGAACCTCCATCAACTCAAAAGGTCCAGCATGTGGAACCGGTTGACGCGGAGGAACAAGGCCAATCCCAGAGTTCTTACGAGCAACGGGAAAAGAATGTGAATGAGAACGCGAGGCAATCGCTGTACAAGACAGGCGGCGAAAAGAAATATGAACCATGTCCGAGATGGAGGAATCTCGGCCTCACGTCTCCATGTGGGTACGTAATAATTCCTCATGAAGATGTATCCTAAAAGACACACTGTGGAGCAGGGATCCCTCCTGTTGGAGCTTCACATGACAGCGATGCCAAACCTCGTCACTCTTTTCTGCCAGCACGGTTATATGATTTTATAATTTGAAGGCAACTGAAAATATTCCCGATTACACAAATATCTGAGTTAATGGATACGTTCACAGCGTGGAAACCCTTTCTGCCCAATTACAGGCAGAAATGTTGGGAAAAGCAAATCCCCCAAAGATCTGTCACATATGGTCTTTGATTGATAAATAGATCTCGTGAGGGCTGAGCTGTTGCAGCTGTACCTTGTGATAACTATACCCACTTGAGGAGAAACTGGCTAAAGATAAAAGCATCTCAGAAAAAGAAATGCCCGCTGAACCCTTGTCTCGAATTGTTAAATAATGATTATGTTCGAAAAATAACCATTTTCAAAATAGAAGCAGGCGTAATGACTCTTATTTCACATCATTACAGTGAAGCGGAGGAAAAGAAACGCAGTAAGAGCTCTGGAGAGGAGAAGTGTGATGGAATACAGAAGAGAAAGCGGGGAGCAGGAGCCAAAGGAAAGATGAAAGCAGAATTCTCTGCGTCCTCTTTACCTGGGCGCCTGTCATCCCAGAAAATGTAAGTGTCCAAAAACAGGTATTTATACAATCCAGAGGAAATACCTATTTTTCTGTAGGAGGAGTAATCTACTGTATACAAGGTTTGGGAAACTGAAAGCCAAATCCTTTTTGTGGGGACATTTGTACATTTATTAGGGGAATGTAATAATGTACATTTAATCCCCTCCCTCTCCTCCCTACCCCCTCTCCTCCCTACCCCACTGGACTCTAACTCCCCCACACACTCAGACACTCAAATCCGGCACCAGACACTTTTTACGATGCTATGGACAATATTGCAATAATGCACGTTCGATGGACAATCTGCACTAATGCACATTCTCAAAATATTGAAGTTGTTTTGTATATATTGATTGTTGTGTTTTTATTTAGGTGCACGTGTACAAATGTGTCTATGACTGTGTATATACATACATATTTGCACACATATTTTTATTTTGATATTTTTATATTCTCTATTCATTTGTTTTTATATTCGGGATTGTGGGAAACAGTATTTCGATCTCTCTGTCTCACTTTGAGCACATTTCTGAGTTACTAAACAATCAATGTATGCCACTATTTGCTTCTACTCCACTGCATTTTGGAAGCAAATATTACACTACATATATCTGACAGTTTAAGTTACCTTACAGATGCAGATTATTGGCTTATACAACATATAAATCAACTAATAAATAAACAATGACATTTAATTATAGGTTAAAATGTCCAGACGTAGACAATTAGCTCCACTTTTCCCAGCTGCGATTGACACATAAATGCATCAACAATCATAATCAATGATTGAATACCTATGATTCTGAAAAGGGTCATTACTCATAACAAGTACTTTTACTTTTGGTACTTAAGTATATGTTGATGTCGATACATTTGTACTTTAGAATTTTTAATGCAGGACTTTTATTAGTACCAGCTATTTTTACAATTTAGTATTGCCCCTTTAAGTCGGTGCCAGTTGAAGAATAATCCGCTTAGCACTTGTATTATGACTGCCACCATTTAGTCAGTTTTAGACTTTAAAATGCATATTGCAGGTTTTGCATATTGTATATGATTGTTTTATTTCATGCCGGTGCACTGAAACATTTCCTTTTTATGCAAATGAAATAAATAAAGTAACCTGAACTGAATGTGAAGTATCAAATGTATTTAAAGGCTTTTTCTTCCTCTGTTTCTTGGCAGCTAGACCTCCTCAGCTCTTTGCCAATGCATATAGACTGCTAGCATCATAAATTGTCACTCGCCACTGTTCACTGATAGCATTATTGCTCATCAGGTAGTGTACTGTACATGCTATGATCTCCCCAGGGTGCATTCAATCATTCCTGAATGTCCACGCACCGGGGGCGTGCGTAGGCGTGGCAGCTTCTTGAAGGTTCGCTGTTTATCATGTTGCTTCCTGGAAAACGCTCCCTCAAATCTGCTCCCCTGGAAATGCCATTTGTACGTACATGGGAACCGTTCCTCCATTTGTATATGTACCAAATTTCATTGCTCCGCTGTGCCCCATTTTCATGATAAAGTTATCCAAGTGACCGGAGCAACTTTAAAAAGCCATCTGCATTTCTGTTTGCATCAATAGCCTTGCAGGAGTCTTCCCTCTGTATATGATGATGACGACTCCAGCCCTCCCCTGACATTAATCCAATCCTTATTCTCCTGCTGCTTAGATTCTGAGGAAGTTCAAACTTGACACTTGTATTTCAAATTCCTTAATGTGTCTCCTTGTGTGGGATGACCGTGCTGTTTTATCCATTTATGAAGCCGGAAAAGAGATATTCCATCCCTTTGTCTGGCTATTGTATTGTCTGGTTACACTATCCCGCACTTTTGTACGTTGTTATCTGAATCTGTACTGTTTTTTTCTTTGTTCAGTAAGACCCCAGCAGGATCAATGCCATTGGACGCTTTCAGTGAGAGTTCATCTGAGAGTGAGGAGGAGGAGGAGCAGCCGGAGCGCCGTCAGGAGAGTAACACAGACCTGCCTTCTGAATATTGGCAGATCCAGAAACTGGTGAAGTACCTCAAGGTATGTTACCTGGCACACTACCGTCTCCTCACTCCGAGAGGGATTTTCAAATCCTAAAATAGCGATTTGTACAGAGAGCTGTACTCCTGCAGGCTAAGGCCGGCTTTAACTAGCAGGAAATAATAAAGTCAATGCTCCTTTCCTGTCATCTGTTCAAGAATTTTGATGCTGTCCTGAGTCGGTATTCAAATGTCAAAAACCGCGTGGAAAATAGACATTAAATCGTGGAATTGCAGGAAAACTTAGTATCACGAAAAAGGTAATTTTCCAATCCCACCTGTCTGTTTTGCCTTACTCATATCAAAACAATATAGGGATGTCAGATGAAATATATATATTTGAAGCAGCACTTTTGAAGGAAGATGCTTCTTGAAGTGGTTGGCTCATCTCATGGATTCGTGGTTTCTGACACAGGCCCGTTTGGTTGCACGTGTGAGTCGATGCACGGGGGGAAAGAGCTGTCTAACGGCAGCAGCTGTACGCACTGTTTGCCCACACCGCAGAAGCATAAAAATGAAGCGCGCCTGTGATAGGTCTGACAGGGCATATGGTGAATATTAAAGTGTCAAAACATGGAAAGGAAAGAGTATAGAAACGCCACTGAGCCAGTTGACTTCACATTTTACCGTAGCTCACTCCCATTATCTATTTATCTGGACATTATCATTCAGACAGATTATATTAAAACAGACTGTGTTGACTTTATTTTGACAGGAATCAATTTTCTTTGCTTCTATTTAACAGTAAAAAGACCTTAAATGCTCTTTCAAAATAATTCAGTTAATGTTATTTCAATGTGTAATAACAGTCTACATCACATATTTTTATTCAGGATAGAATTTCTTGATATGACTAACAGATTTGTGTTCTGCGGCTTGAATAAGATCGTTCACTTTTATAGAAAACACTGCTTGATATTTTTAGCTTAGCAAAATAGGATATAAAGGAAATTCCCACTCCATTCCAGAGAGGAACAAAAAAAGAGAGTAAATGATTTGAAAGAGGGAAACTCAGATATATAAAAACCTCACTGGTTTGCATATTCCTTACTTTTCAGCGTTGTGGCGTCAGCTTTAGTGTGTGTGTGTGTGTGTGTGTGTGTGTGTGTGTGTGNCCCTCTCCCTCGCACTATAGACAGCCGTTTGTACTCTAGGAAGTTTAACACTTTCATAAAGCGACACATGCATGTTCTGTTTTGTGTTTTAATGATATTTATGTAGGAATATTTGCCCCGGGATCCGATGTGTTTGTTTTTATACTTGTATGACTGGAGACCTGTGCCTGTAAAATTGTTACATGGTCTCTCACCAAACCCTGCATGCAGATTTGTGTCTCTGGGGATTATATTTGTGTTTTTTACGGGTCTGTAACATACTTCTTCACCTTCTTATTTAAGTTTACAAACAACCATTTATAAAAAAGACTTTATATTAAAAAAAATTATATTTTAAACGCTGTTTTCTGTACTGTAGTTGTACAAAGAACATCCACTATGGCCTTCAGTAGACCAAGCTAAATAACAACTTCGTTTAAAAGAACAAGATGTTTTTTCGCGAGTCAGGACTGAAGATTGTTATTCAAGCAATTAAGGCACAACATGTCATTTGAGTATTTTATTTCAGTTTAGATAAATACAAAATTCTCCAGCTGCTATCAGTTAGGTTCCCCTGTGGCTTAAAAATAAATACATTTTCATGTTCTGACGGACGTAAATATTGTGTCCTTTACACAATGTGTTACTTGTTACCTGGTAATTCCAACATTGAGTGTTGTAAACATTTTTGTAATTTAATTTGTACAATAATCCTAATTTCTTCCTCTTTGTTTTACTGAGCATATGGCTTTTTGAGCAGTCCCAATGAAATAATTCACCAGACTTCTCTTAAACAGTGTCACTATTAGTGCAGACTTTCCCCATTGCTTTGACATTGTGTGTAACTCTCACTATAAATGTACAAATTCTGCAGATTAACAAGCTGATCCTGGACCCTGACACACATGGTATTGTGTTCAGCCCTCATTAAAGTTGCTCCCCCTCTGCTGGCCAGTCATGGTACTACCGCGCTGCTCTTCTCTCATGAGAACCATATTACTAATTGCCACACTAAAACTAATCCTGCCTCCAGTGTACAAGAGCCAGTATCAGCTCATTTTCTTATTATGTTCTAAGCACTTAAGCATTTTTGATTCTTTTTTAATAACACAATTAAAACATTACATTTTTACTGCCTGTGATGCATTTACAACACAATTTACTCACAAGAACAGTAATCATTTCACTCTCATGAGTGAGGCGACTTTGCAATTGAAAGACTAGACGTTTGCTCAGCGTGCATATTTTATGACAGAGAGGCCTATTATATGATTATGTTTTATGTTATAGTAGATCCCATGTCAAATATGAAGCAAGAAACAAGCAATGATCATTAATTCTATCCTGACGGTACCTTTCCCCATAATACAGCAGGGGATTTGAGTTTGGTCTTGCCATTAGTGCAGTGAAGTTTGAAACCTCATGCATCCTCTACGGCTCGGCCTCTGCCAAGACCCGCTACTTTCAGCTACTTCTATCTTACACTGAGCTCTATGAAGCGCTGGCAGTGGCCCGAGTCCACCTGTCACCGGTCCAGCATTGCAGACATACGTATCTGAGCACTTATCCTCAATATGCACTTTTATCCCTGGTGACAGGAAGCCAAACACTCACTCATTCGCAAAATATACACAACAAAACGGCAATAAGGAAAAGGTCTCAGGTCAATAGGGTATCATTGACAGCCCTATTAAGCCCCTTCCTGCTCCAACATGCTCACTGCGGTGATTTATAGGCTCGGGCGGGCCAGTCTGTGTCTGTTGAGTCCAGTCTGCTACCCCAGACAAGAATAAGACCTCCATTCAGCAGTGGGGAGGCATTAGCTATTTTAGTAGCCACCTGCAGTGAAGGAGGAGATGCAACGCATAAAGCATCTTTAAGTGGTTGATATTGGGTTCACCTCATGAATGGAAACTTATCCCTCTTACTGCTTTATGTCTAAACTCCTTGTTAGGCAATTCAAAGAGACAAGGCAATAGATCATTTATACAACTATCTCCTTAATCATTACTAGATGAGTTGCCATTAAACTGCTGATTAATGAATATTAAAGATACCCTAAATACCATGCTTCAAATTCCACACTCCTATACATGTTCCCAATGGGATGTGTAATGGTTGAGCTGAGTGTACTGTAGTATCACTACTTAGGGTTATATCGGCCATCTATCATCATTTAAATATCCATTCAGCTGATAAGAAACACTTATTTTGTCTCTTCTTCTTACTTAAGTGTTGTACATCAGGATTTATATGTTGTTTTTATTCACACGTGCTGCAAGTCTCTATGGAAGGCAAGCTCAATTGATCTGATCTGTCTGTCCTGACTTACTTATCTCTATTAATATTCGATAGATTGCCATGAAAGGTTGTTCAGAAATTCATTGTCCCCCGAGCAGATTGTGGTGCTCCCCTGACGATTCTTAGTTCACCACAATGAAGTGGACATCTGCGCTGAACGTCTTGACAAGTATTGGATGGATTGCTGTGAAATTTGATGCAGATATTCAAGGTTCCTAGAAGGTACATTTGAATGACTTTGGTGATTTCCTGACTCTTCCTCTAGCGCCACTACAGGTCAACATTTCCACTTTGTCGGGGAAAAGCTTGACATCTACTGGATGGTAGACACAAAATGTTGTACAGTGATTCATGGTTTCCAGAGGATAAATTCATATGACTTTGCAACCCAGTCGCACGGCATTTTGCGTTATAGTCACGACATTTAATCTATTGATTCGTGTTCACCAACACGATTTTCCCCTTTTTTTCGTGTCACACAGAACGATTTTAAAAGCAATGTATTTTTCGTGGCTGCAGCACGTCTTTTTATCCGTTCGGGTCTTGGAAGACCGGAAGCTGTGTGGTTCATAAAAACATGTTTTTACTCAATATCAAGCCATAATTATTGTTTTTATTTTAAATCGTATAATGTCGGACTTTTTTTGTCGTCTGTGAGGGAAAGAAATGGGGCTCAGAGCCTCAGAATACTGAAATCTGTATTTTTTTTAAATCTTTTTTTCCTTCCAATTTGTTATTCTTTTCTAAATAACACACTGTTATTTACTCACCAATAACACACAATTATCCTTGTTTTTATTTATTTGTTTAATTCCATCATCTCGGGCTTTTTTGGCGTCTGTCAGGAACTGAATGTCAATATATATTTTGAGCATCATTGCGATAATGATTACCCAAGATCCTCAGCTATGGTTTAAGCTCCCTAATTGGATGTTTCAGCCGCAATGCATGTAGGGATATGGTGTTAATGCGATATGAAATCCGAAAAACTTTTTTTTTTAAAGAAAATAATACTTTATTCCGAGTGTTCTCACTTTTCTCTTTGAAAGTCATCACATAACGGAATTGTAATACACTGTTCGGCTGCATTACATATTACAGAACCCCACAGCTTCCGGTCTTCCAAGACCCGAATGGACAAAAAGAAGTGCTGCAGGCACGACACATACTACCAATAAAAATACATTGCTTTTAAAATCGTTCTGTGACACGAAAAAAAGGGGAAAATCGTGTTGGTGAACACGAATCAATAGATTAAATGTCGTGACTATAACACGAAATGCCGTGAGACTGGGTTGGACTTTAGTGATCCTCCAACTTTTCCTGAAGAGCCAACAAGAGGCTGATGGAAATATCACAAATGTACTTACTTTTCAATGGATTGCTATCAAATGCGGTAATAATGTGGACATTCGTGTTCCCCAGAGGATGAATCCTGCTGACTTTGGTAATCCCTAGACTACTATTCTAACTCCATGACCAGGCCAATGTCCACTTGTCCTTGACTGTGTCGTTTTTTCAATGATTCCTGCTAAACTAACCACATTCCCGTTAGCCTTAGCTGTACTTGTGTTCAGTGCAGCAACCATTGAAAATGGAGAACCTTGTAAGAATGACTTGCTAAACACGTGGATATTAACATGTGTCAATATGTGCAATTGAGCAAGTTGATAATAGCTTTTAGCTTAATGCAACGCTATGCCTAAGTACAAGCTAACATAGCTGCTAGCAAGGTTGTGGAATCTCAAAAGGTGGAAGCTAACCGTTTAAAGAGAAGGCCTGCTAAGTTTTCAAGGACTATTTGAAATACATCGCAGGTTATGTTTCCTTATACCCTATAGAGGTTTATAACTCGGTATGAGTATTGATTATGGCAATGCCAAGCCTGTAGGTTATGGAACACAGTATCGATGCAAAGCACAGCTATTTAACTGCTTTTTGAATTTATTGTTCAAATGTGGAATAGTGGTTGAATTGGTTCCACTTTGAGCATCTGCTCGTCATGCTCATAGAGTCAAAGATCTTTCATCATAAAAGATTGTCAGATGTTGTCAGTGTTTTAAAGAATGTCGACAATACTTCAAGACCAAAGCTAACGAAAATGAAAGCACATGATCTGTTTTCTGTTCTCCCTGCTATCACTCCTAAACATAGCATTCGTGTTGTTTTTACAAGGTATGAACCTTGCCTGCTAAATCCTTTGAAGAATGAGAATGCAGGAGACAAAGGAAGCCGTAGATCCACTGCTGTTAATGGGCAAATGGTTCACATCATGATATGGAGAACACATGTGGCCGTTATCCTGCTGTGTCAGAGCACCGCTTTGTGAGGGAGATATGATCAAACACCACTTGATTCTCTGGTATATGCCTATAGTGATGAGCCCGCCTCTCCAAAAGCAGCATGAAACACATTACTGCTCGTGCATTCTATATAGTGATGGGCTATTTTCTACTCATAGCTGATAGCAGGACATGCTACATTCTTATGTTCAGTTGAAATTATCTATGTAGGACGGTGCTGACGTCTTAAATTGTTCGCAAAGTGTGCAACTAATAAAGGACCTTCAAACTTGGAACGGTAGAGGCGGCCTTGAATCCAGTAGATGAGAATTCTATGTGTATCACATTCAAACCACAGCGAAAAATTGAATCATATTTGATTGTTCACTCGCCAGCAGATTTTGGACTAGATCTCAGTGTCACATATCAAAGCCATGTTGCAGGTCTAGTGTTACAGCAGCTAACTGTTGCATTTGCGTGCCACAAGCTTCTGTTTTATCTGACTACTGATTTTCCCCCCTGTTTCATGATTAAAACCATTGCATGTCAACAAAGATTGTTACGCAACTCCTTATGATGCAGACTAAATATGGCAAGGAAAAAACATCATTGCTGCCTGCAGTTGAAACATCTCATAGAACCAACTGGAGGTTTAAGTGCCATCAACATCGGCCCATCCAGGACATTATGTTGATTTGTCCATTTGGAGCCGAAAGAATAGAATTTGGTCACTACATTTAGTAGAAAACAGTCAAATAAGAAAGACTCTGCCACAGTTGAGGATTTGACCAGCCACACATGCACATTTTTTAATCTATTCATTTTTTGTGAACATATTTTAGCTAAGTTCCGATCAAACGTAATCAGTGTTTGGCCCCCATGTGTGTTTAGGGGCTTGAATTTAAATCAAAGAGCAGATTTCCCCACCTCGAGGCACTTGTTGACTCAGTAGTGTTGTAGCTACCAAGTTACTAATCGCTGTGGCGCAGGTCTAAAATGATATGTGTGTGTATAGCAACTGTCAAAACATTTTCTACTCTTGATATGGTAACTCACAAGTTTTAGCGCTAATAGTGTAATTTTTCATCCTCGGGGCAATGTCTAATGTTTTCTGAGCTTGGCACTGTTGTCGTAGCTTAGCGCTCTGTTAGCAGATAATTTCTCTCCTACAGTGTTTATCGCCACAAAGCTTAACACTTACCAGGCTGTGGTATAAACAAAACAACCCCAGCAGGAGTGGTATTATCAGAGGAAACAACAGAGGGAGAGTGAGCGTGGGGGAAAGTAGGGAGATTAGTGTCCTCCTCCCTTTTTCTAAGTGTCTGCTTAATGTTTAATTCTCTCCTCCTCTCTTTCATTATGTCTTCTTTTTTTCTTTCATTGACTCGTGTTGGGCATTATTATTTCAGGGAGGCGACCAGACGGCCACTGTTCTCACTCTGTGCGCCATGATGGACTTTAATTTGATGCAGGAGACGTGCCAACTGGCCATCCGGGACGTAGGTGGCCTTGAAGTCCTCATTAACTTGCTGGATACAGATGAAGTCAAATGCAAAGTAAGTAGCTCTACCAGAGCTGGACCTGGATGGCCTGCGGGCAAAAACCGAGCCGGCCGTGTGTGCCAGCCTGTGTTTTAGTAACAAAAACCGAGTGCTGGGTAGAGAGCATGCCTTTAAAGACACGGGGTAGCAATCATTCTCCAGTTTGCCTCATGACTTGTGTGTGCTTTTTGACCTGATTTTATTAGGTCTTTTGTCATGACTATTCTAATTTGTGTTGCTAGTAGCTTTATGTTCTTTTAGCACACAAGGAGGCCTTACATTAGCATAGACACAACCATTTATTTTCCATAAAATATCTTTTTGGGTTGGTTTTATTGTGTGTGTTTTTAGATTGGCTCCCTTAAAATCCTGAGGAAGATAAGTCACAACGTGCAAATCCGTCGAGCCATTGTAGACATGGGAGGCCTGCAGAGCATCGTGAGGATTCTGGACTCCCCAGTGAAGGACCTCAAGGCCTTGGCAGCCGAGACCATCTCTAACGTGGCCAGGTTCCGACGAGCAAGGAGAACCGTCAGGCAGTATGGCGGTATCAAAAAACTGGTGAGTATGAACAAGAAGCAACGTTCATTCAAGTTGGTGTAAATAGGATAACCAATCTTTGTCATGGCAATGTAAAAAGCAGGCTGAATATCAGAGCCTGGTATTGGTTAATGAATATAAGATTTTCCAATAAAACACTTTGTCTGTTTCAACTATTTTGTAACTTAGTGCAACCATTATTTGTACCACGGCCACTATGGACCCATTGCAAAAATGGTATGGTGCATAATTGCGACGTGATCCGCATATTACCGTTTATAATGAGTTTTAGGCGTAATAAACGAATCCAGACGTGGCTTAACAAAGTGGCAGTGCCCCATTTTTTTGTACTTGTGGTCATGTTCCTTTCGCCATTCATTTTTAGCTGGATGTCACTAGTCCCATGAGTTAATCAGAGGGTGTTCCGCAGGGTGTGGGGACTGGATCCTTGATGTTTTTGAATGGTTTTGTTTAGGGCTTTCCACACTAAGGGCACTCTGTTCCTTCTGTGATCTAATAAAACCAATATTATATTCTCACTCAAAAACTTGGGTCTTCAGGGCCATTTCAAACTTATTTGCTGTCATTCCAAAAAATGTAGTTGCAATAAATATTTAAAAAACACCTTCCCACTAGTTTACTTGCATAAGGGCAGATTACATGGTTGTAAAAGCACTTCTGAGATTTAGTATGTGTATGCGGTTCGGAAATGGTTCTTCTTTACAATCAGATCAAATCTATGGAATCAGTCCCGCCTAAACTATGTTCTAAGTCAAAGCAGATTAATCCTCAATGTATGCCCTTTTCACACTGTACGCACCCACCCAGGCTTTTAAAACCAGCAGAACGGTGCTGTGGTACAACAGATAGAATGTCCCCTACATCCTCTGACCTGCATTCATGTTTGTTGACAGAGGGACCTGTGATTAAAGCCTCCATGCCTTGTATATTTTCCCCAGCCCCAAATCGGATGTTCTCATGTGCAAGTCACTCACGAAGGCAGATTAATTTCACGCTATGCTATGAGACCACCTTTGAACTGCGCTGTGTGTAATAGCTTTGCCTGCTCTGTCTCACTGGCCAGGAACTATGGATTAGAACACTGAATGATGGCCATAAACCGTCACACTGGGCTTTTCAGGCCTAACATCAACATCAATCCTGACAGTTTTCCACTCCTAACAGTCTGGCTTTTTCATCTTTGCAGACCCAGTAGTAATAGAATTTTAATTACACCCTTAATCACAGCCAACAACTTGCTATTCTCATCTGGACCCATCCATTATCACTCCAACCATGCAACAAAACTTCTCAGAGTCCTTGAATTTATGACAAGTTCACAGAGTTTGTGTAAATGTGTGAGTCTGGAGTTTTTTTTGCTTTGAGACGTGCGGTCTGGATGTTTGTTCGCACACATTTTTATGTTTGTGTTTATCCTCCCTCTTCTCTCCGCTCAGGTGAAGCTGCTGGACTGTGTTCCGAATTTAGCCAGCCTGAGTGCAAACCAGGAGAAGGATGTGGAGGTGGCTCGCTGCGGTGCCCTGGCACTGTGGAGCTGCAGCAAGAGCACCAAGAACAAGGAGGCCATCCGGAAGGCTGGGGGCATCCCTCTGCTGGGACGCCTGCTCAAGTCTCCACACGAGAACATGCTCATTCCTGTGGTGGGCACCCTGCAGGAGTGTGCCTCAGAGGTGAGAGGGAACAATATGCCCTTTATCGTCAAATGTGGCATACATTGTCAATTCATGATCTGTGCAATAAAAGCTAAAAGTCTCATTCTATAAGACATTTAAAATACTGTAAATAATGTTTTAATTCTATCAAAGGATCAAATGAAAGGCCTAAAGTAACAATGAATGTTCCTAACACCAAGTACTCTTTCTTCCTATTTACCACAGAGATGAATAAACCTATTCAAAACACATCAATGAGCCACACTTGCACCTTAATTACAATGGAAACACTCACCAGAACACCACATTGTTTATTGTTATTTGCCCGAAGTTAGCTCCAAATACACTTTTTATTACAGTTTGAGTATGCAGAGTGAACTTCAGAGTGAACTTCTGCGTACTCAGTGAAGGATTTGTTTCTTTAGAAGGGGCAATGTGTTTTGAGGCCAACTAACTAAAACACCTTTACAATGTACTGTAGAGATTGACAAGCCTGACATTTGTAGAAAATACCAAAAGTGATAGGATAGTGCAAGCTTTACCTTTACACTATGTGATTTCAGCAGGGTGTGTAAGGATGTAAAAAACACATGAATTTTAGGGTAGAAATGAAAGACACTATACTGTACTTGTCATGTGAAACTAAGAAACAATATTATAAACATAAAGAAACATAATACCAGTAAATATATAAAATACCTATAGATAAGCCAATGTTGTTCATGTCACTACAGGAAAGCTACAGGATTGCCATTCAGACCGAAGGCATGATCAAGGATTTGGTTAAAAACCTAAGCAGTGACAATGATGAGCTCCAAATGCATTGTGCCAGTGCAATCTTCAAGGTAACTTCCTCATTAGTACACATTCATTTCATGAACAAATGTGAGAAAATGGAACTTAGTAAAAAACATTTTTCCTATACTTCCTGAAGGTCTTGACCATCTCTTTTACTCTATGCAGTGTGCAGAAGGCAAACAAACTCGTGACCTGGTGCGTGAGTACAAAGGTCTGCAGCCGCTGGCCTCTCTGCTGAGCAAGGCGTCCAACAAGCAGCTGCTGGCCGCCGCCACCGGAGCCATCTGGAAGTGTTCCATCAGCATGGAGAATGTGGCTAAGTACGCAGGGACTCTGGGTCTTACCTTATTACCTCTCATTACCTCACATGCCCATTAACACACGCATTTAACATACCAGAGATACAGAAACACATTGCGGCTATATATTTTGGGATGTGTTTGTAATTAGTTGTAACAGATTAGTATGATTTTAATAAATCAATCATAGGAGCAACAATCTAATGAGCCTCATTTTAAAGGGGATTAATAGTAATTGGTAATTTCACGCATGTGTGCTCATAACTTCTGGAAAATATGTTTCCTGAGATGATGTGGTTACAGTATGTGAAAACAGAACACCAATAGGGTATCAACCAACTTGCGTGCATTACTCGTCGCCATGCCATCAGCACATATGTTTTTTTATACTTTTACGGCGCTGCTGTTATTCATTCACGACTAGCTGTATCACTTTTTCCACTCTGATGCTTTTATCATATCTCCATTTCCTTTACAATTGCATCTGGTTGAAGTGATTACTTGCATAAATGTAAAGTTTTTCTACGGATTCTATTTGCTCTGATCTTTTATGTGAGTGTTTGCTGCTAGAATTCAGTCTTTCCCATCGTTAACGAAGGCTCAAGCCGATGTGTTGATTTGATAGACTTCGGTGATGTGTTATTCTAAGCCTGTGAATATTAAAGGAATCGGCCTCGGAGTTTCTAAAGTCAGAAGGCTGACAGAGCCTTTAATCATTTTTCATGTCAGGCTGGGGTTTATTTAAGTGTCATTCAGCCTGGTTCCTTCAGCAGTGACATTTGTGGAATGGTTTTTGACTTGTATTTAAGTGTCAGATGATTTTTAAATCCCTCATTTTCCCTCTAAAATAAATAATTCCTTGAAACCGCATCTTGGCCCTATACATTCCCACTAATGCTCCCTTGAAAGAATCATTTAATGTATTTATTTTCTTATTCTGTGTTAGGCTGGCTACATAATATATAACCCCATTGCATATATGTAATACCTTTTGTAATGTTTTCATTCATTCAAAACACATGCTCTCCATTGTAGGCAAGCAACTGGTAATTGATGATTCTACGATAAAGAGTATTCTTCAATTGTAAGGCTTTCCGCTGAGGTGAGATGATGTGAAAAAAGGCTTTTTCTTCCGACCAAGAAGTAGTTCAAATTGCAGTGAACCTCTAAAAATAACAAGAAAAGTTAACAGTAGCACTCACAAAGATCTATCTTCACTTCATATATCATATCTGACAGAATGATATCCTACATTTAAAGTTTGAGTGAAATCCTCCCAACTGGAACTGAGTGTCTGCTGCCACATCGAGTTAAGTGAAGATTCCTTTACAGGAGTGGAGGCATGACAATAACATTCCTCTGAAGCAAGATGGATGGATCCCTGTCTCTTTAACACACGCCATGCATGAACAATAAAACCTTTGGGGAATTTATTTGATTTAAATAAAGATAGTGACCTTATTTTTGCTTTGTTCATTTAACAAACAAATATCTTAAAACAATAGAAAAATGGACATAGTTTGGAAAGCCTGGCGCTTGTGTGAACTACACAGACCATGAGTAATGTGGTAGCTTTAATAAACTCACTGCCAGTACAGGCCCTCTGCCATATGTAATTACCTGTCACACTGTTGCCATGTTAAATACTTATATTACTACTGATAATAACAATAATAGAAATAATTATGATAAGACCATTAATCACACGTAAACCACATTTAGTGACACTTCATTTACAACACTTTGAGTGCCCTCTCTACATTTAACAAACAGAGTGCCATCATTTTGTGGTTTCTTCCCCGTGTGTGTTATGTTTTATTTTGGACGCTGTGGGCTCTTGGGTGTGAATGAAGGTGAAATGTGGCCACCTCCTCAGGAAGAAAGCAGCGTGATGCACAGCCAATGTTTTAAATGCACACTTGAATGTGTAAGTGGATCTGTTTTTTCATACTCTCCCAGGCTTATTTGAATCACTTAAAAAAGTCTAGGTCAGGCCAAAGCTTGGAATACAGTGACCGAGTCATTACTGTCAAAAAGGAAAGGCTGCTAATGTAACAGGGTTTCAGGGGCATGCGCTCATTTCAGAATCAATCATGGGCTGAGTGGTGTAAAGAAATGAAAATCATTTTGGAATACATTTTTGCTCCAGCAATATTGACAGGCAGGGAGGGGTTTCTCTCTCTCTCTTTTCTTTCATTAAGTACATGGTCAAATAAAACAGACCCTTTGGCCCATTGCAAACAACATTTCTTTTATGTGACTGGTGATTTGCGCGGTCTGGACAGCATAAAGGTCCGGGGACCTCCACTTAAGACAAGTAGCTTGTGTAAGCCATTTCCCTGATTAATGATGCATCAAAATGAGAGATGATTGATGCCCCAGAAATGTAATGACATTCATAGCTTAAGTGTTTATTTAAAGACCACATTACTGTGTGTTTTTTTGAGACGGCTGTACCTTGTCCAAGCTTATATTTACTATGGAAATACCTTTGTAAAAGCACTTCTTGGAAAGATATTTTGTTTGGATATATGAACGCATCGATATGAAGTCCCCTGAGCCTGTATACTGAAGTGTTATGGACACACAAACAAGCTGTAAAAAGCCCTTAACAAAAGAGTGAGTGAATACCCTGTAATGGAAAGTCACCACTGCCAAGTCTCTCTGTATTTGCCAGCACAGTAATGTTGACGGTCAAGATTGTGGGGTTCGCTTCCAATGACTGACTACTCTGCCATCTTACCTCTGTTCCAACGCTATGATGAGCACACCATAATTGCCCTTCCAAATGATACTTCTCCTTACCTCACAAAAGTTCTGTGCTCACCCAAGTCACTGCTTTGCCTTTTTTTCTTTTTAAATGAGATAGATCAATCTATCTGCTCAATTTCAGGTTAAAGGAGCCAGTTCTTTTCTCTTCATAGTCTGGGTCCTTAAAATGTCTTACTTTCACTTTACCTTTAAACACTAGTGTGCATAAAAGGCAGCATTTAGGTTTTCAGCACTTTGAAAAAGGAAAAGACACACAATCAATCTTAGAATCTTCTACACATAAGCGCCAATGCGGTTCCTGTGTCTTCTGACAGGCTTTAATAAACGTCCCCAGTGTTTGCAGAAGAAGCAAACTCAGGTTGTCTTGTGTGATGTTACTCTTGCCATAACGTAATTACGCCGACCGGGATTGGCTTCACAAAAATAGTCATGTCTTACTGTTCATTCATCAAAAGTTATGTCTGTGATTACGAGATAATTGTAATGCAGTCGACTGCAGATGACACTTCAGTGATGCCATTGGCAAACCATTGTTTTTCTTTATGGTGAATTTCACTGAAGTTAACTTTGGCAGCTCCGATGTTCATTAGCAGTGTTTTCCCTTGCGAGAATAGGCTGTGTGTCGTCGGCCCCTGACCAAACCCAAATGACCTTGGCCATCCACAACAGCTTAAGGACCATGATGCCAGCAACCGTAACTGTGAATAAAAACAGTCGTAGGGCTTAACTGTACATCAGAGGTTTGTTGAGGTTTTTGTGCGACCGCAGTATATCCCTTTTAAATGTTTACTGTAGTTTACCACTCTATAGCATTGGCAAACAAGGAAGAATCACAGCTAAATAGGGAGGGAGAGTTTCCAAGCCTCATCAAAGCTATGGTACGGACAAGGGACAACTGTGAGCAGTCGTGGGAAAACTGCCTGTACTGCTGGGTTACAGTAAGAGATCTATGTCCATGTGGCTCAGGGCACTGTAGCCACTACTTATCACTTTAAAGTAGGGAGCAGGGAGGAAAGTACAAGCATAAACAGCTCTAGTGAGATGTTAGATGAAGACAACAAACACACCTTCAGTCAGCCGCCCCTCTGAATCCCTGCCACGCTGCTGACGTACCAACTCAAACCAAGTCAAGCCAGACAACTATTGCGTGTTTAGCCACAATATTGTCCTTAGTCAGTCAATTGGCCAATCAGTCCACCACTTTGAATCTACACTTAAATATCTCAACAGTTATTGTGTAGAATGACATAGATGTTTACCAGACATTTGTGTTCCCTGGAGGATGGACAATCCCCTGACTTTTTTATCTAGCAGCATTTTTCCTTTGTGCATTTCATTGAGTGCCAACTATGGTTGCCATTTGGGGTTTTGAGTGAAATGTCTGTTTAACTATTGATTTGATTGCCATTATATTGCTCACATGCATTAAACAACATTTTCTCTAGCTCCAGGTATTTTTTTGTGCACTTCTTTATTTTTAAACACCGTAAAAAAAAAAGTGCGTGCTGTGTTTATTGCTAATTAGCCAATGCTAGCATGCTAACAGATTACTCTAAAAGGTCAACATGGTCCTTTGCGTCAGGGTCTTGCTCACCCTGTCTAGGTTTGTTTTGAAATTGTGACCTGCTCCTTGTACATTGTCTATTAGTTAACATCAGCATGTTAGCATTGTACAAAGTAGTAGAACAATTAAGCCATACCATGCTAATGTCAACATTTAGTCCATAGCACAGCCTCAAATACTAAAATCGCTGCAGACTCTTCTTCTTCTTTCTTATTCGTTAACATCTATCAGTTATTAATACACCTAACAAATCAATGTGAATTGATTGGTTAATTCCCCTTTGTTCCACTCTTGACAGGTTTCAGGAGTACAAAGCCCTGGAGACCCTGGTTGGCCTGCTGACAGATCAGCCTGAAGAAGTTCTGGTAAATGTAGTGGGAGCTGTTGGAGAATTCGCCCGGATAGCTGCTAACAAGGCCATCATCCGCAAGTGTGGAGGCATCAAATCGCTTGTGAATCTGCTCACTGGAACTAATCAGGCATGTTGAATGATCTCTTATTGCATAATGGCCATTTTATCTTTTGACCATATTATATTGATTGATTTACTTTTTATTTGTCTTTTTTCTAGGCGCTGCTTGTGAATGTAACCAACGCAGTGGGTGCCTGTGCTACGGATATGGATAACATGGCGTAAGTGTCACCTTACATCCAACTAGCTCTTTTCCATTTATTACACTTTACACAAGGCAAACAGCCCCATGTGAGGTGTCTCTTAAAATATCATTAGTTGCTTGCTCACTGTCATTACTGAATTACCTCCAAACCCCTATTCTTGGCCGCGTATTTATGTCAAATGTTTTGACAAGGGAATGACACCAATTACTTGATCCAAACACGGTATAATTAACCTGTCATGGGCTCATGCTTAAAGAAATCTATGTTCTTGTCATTTGTAATCATGCAGGTACTTTTCTCTTTTATCCCCAGCTTAATGACATCTTTTAGAAGCTTTGTTTATTGTACCTGCTAAGTTAAATATGGTTGTGGTGTTTTACTATAGCTTTGTGGTCTGTGTCGGGACTTGAGCTGGTCACACGAACATACCTAACGCCCTTCCCTGTCCAAGAGTTCATAGCTGGGAAAACACAGCGAACCACAGTCCAGAGCCGACTTTCTTCTGTTCATTTAACCTCGCCCTCGTTACTTCAGAACATTGTGGACCTTCCATCTGTGTCTCATTGCTTTTACGAGGCTGTTATGCACTACACAACACTTCTTAATTAGAACTGGACACACATACGACCTAATGTTGGAGTTTACATTGTAAGCTAGCTGTTAATGCTACCCTGTGAGCCTATTACATTTGTTTGGATGAAAAAAACCAAGGGGCTCAATAAAAAGAGAATCATGTCAAAATACAGCAACCAACTGTGGTAAACTTCACACAAGGCGAGAAGTGTTTTACGTGGTTCATCATGTTCTCCGTGTTTTCTCACGTTATGGACACAGTATTTAAGCCAGACCTTGTCATTTTTCAGCCTTCACACTCCGCTGTAAACAGAACGTTCTTATTTCAACGCCTTCTTGCATGTAGTGTATGTTTTGTGGCGATGGCTTATTTTGAGACATGTATGTGTACAGTAGTTTGCTGAGCAATTAACATAACTCATTTTGATTGCTTCCTGCTCCCACCAAACACTGTTTTCCAGATTCACAGTGATTAGATGGTATTTGGCTAGCTAACAAATATGATGATGCATGACACCACACAGTAAGCTACAATATTCTTGTCTGTTAACATGACTTCATTTTTTCCAAAACAAGCTCTTTTCTCTGATACCTTCTGTTGATCAGCACAATCATTCTCTCATCATGGTTCTGATGAAGCTCATCCATAACCACCGAAAGCCCAAAACAAACAACGGTCACTTTCATGTTCCCCATGAAAAACGCATGTGTTTGTTTTCATTCTCAAGCAGTAGGCAGTGTGTGGTTAATGACACAGCACTTCCTTCGGTGAATCCTGTGTAGCTACAAGAGTGAACACACGTTGTTTTATGCCTCCTGGGTTTGTGGTCTCCTCCTCTAAATCCATCACTGTCAGCTGCAACTTCATTGCTAATCTGTTTCATACCTGCTTCATGGGAAGACGGAGCTGTTTTGGACGATGATGTGACGCTTCACTTTTGTTTTCGGCCCGGATTTAGGAGGCCCTGCAGACTGGAATCTGATGTTATGATCCCTGCAGACTGATTTATGTGCAAACAGAAGACAGATGGCGCAGAGGACGTCCCTGATGAGTGTTCGCTCGTTGCCAGTCACGGAGATACAGTGATTAGAGAGTGTTTAAGTAATTATGACAGCATTCAATGTCCGCCTTGTTGGTGGACGCACACATGGGGAACACGTTACATGTTATTTATGCCAGACAACGGGTGCACTGTGTTGTAATTCTTTGGGTTCCCAGACCCTGACTGCAGTTTTGACTACAGTCATGTATACGACATGAAATACAGTTCATGCCTAAGTAAACTTCACTCAGACCTCATGAAATATAGAGCGACCTGTCTGTGGCTCTGTTTGATTTGGAAAGAGGTCCTCTTTTTGGCTTTGGTTGAAAAACAAGCCACCAACATAAAGTGTAAGTTTGTCTCGGCTACTATTTATAAATCTATGTATGAAGCACTATATGTGCAGATGTATGTGCGTTAACCACTGGCCCATTGAGCTTCTCCACCGAGAGGGGTTTGAGCGAGCAGACAGTGGGTGGGTTTCAGTCCTGGAGAGGAACTGAGGAGGGAGGAGGGCTGAAGGCAAGTCGTGATGAAAAGCCAACTCTGAAATTGATCGATGTTTTGATCCTACTTGGCGGAAGTTGAGTTGAGCCTGCTGCAGGCCAGACTAAAACAGCCAAAGCTCTGAGAAACAAACATGATCAGGATGATCACACAATCATTCAAGCAGAAAATTACAACCAAAAAGCAACATTTTTGGGGGCTTTCTTCCTCCCTTCTCACACTACTTCCTGTCTCTTTCTTCCAACAGAATCATCGACCAGCTTGATGGAGTCCGCCTGGTGTGGTCCCTATTGAAAAACCCCAGTGCAGAAGTGCAATCCAGCGCTGCATGGGCCCTTTGTCCATGCATTAACAATGCAAAGGTACAGTACAGTGAAGTATATTTGTTTTCGGCCCCTGTCCTCTCTCTGCGAGTGAAGCACACCTAAGGCAGACGGATTATAGCCTCTAAATCAAAGAGGTCTGCAGGGTTCGTGTCGTTTCAGAATTATCCCACTCACAACACTGAAGCCCGCTTATATCACCATGCTGCTATCCTAAGCTCTCCCTCCAACCTGCTGCTGCTGCTGGGAGGTTAGCGGGGGCAGAGCTGTGTCAGAGGGGGCTTACATGAACTTCGGGCTAATATGAAGCAGAGAAGCCTCCTTGGCACACTGGGATCTGTGAATTGGGAAGCAGGCAGGGAGAAAGGCTCAGTAATATCCTGTGGCATGGCTTCTGATTTCCCCGCTGAAAATCTTGCCTCAACATGCTACCAGTTACAGAGATTCACAATCGACACACAGCATAGGGTACGAGACAAGTTCAGTGAAAGCGCTTTTCTAAATCATATTTTTTCATAAATAAATAAATACAAAACCCACAACATGGACAATAATACTTACTACACATATAGACTTAAATAAGAAAAACTACTCCGTGACACACTTGAAAATGTTTGTTGTCAAGTTGCATTATGGGTAATTTAGATAGGAAAGAGAGCACGTTAAATGAGAAAGACGACATCTCGGACTCATATGCATCGATTTAGATACTCATTTTTTTAAACGGACCATCTTGAATCAGCATGTTTGCAGGAGTTCATGCTAAATCAGTGGGGAACTGTTCTTACACACGAGCAATATGAAAATTAGGGTCCTTTACCCTAGTCCGTCAACTCTAATTTCTGTTACACATTAGCAGGTCTTTGATCCCCTGAGCAGTCCCGACTACAAACGTAATGTTGTTCTAATAGATTATCGCAGTGATTAAGGTAAACAGCATGTCAGTGGGACAATCTGGGTTAATTTAAACAGTTGGGCCCAGGCAGGTGTCTATGGGGGTCTGGGTTTTTACTCTGGCCTAGAAGTATAGCGAAAATGATGCATGGCAACCATATGGCGGGTCTGTGGGTCCACCATTGAGCGCTAACAAAGTTTGACAATGTTTGTCTGGATGTCAGTTTGCCAATTTTGAGGGGAAATTCATGAACATGCTTTTTGGGTGATTTTTCTGGGACGGGGGCAATGACAAAGGCTGAATAGTGCTCTCGGCCCGTGGGGTTGAGGAACCTGATACAGCTGCTTCGGTGCAGCCGCTATTTAGATAAAGACCCCATGTGGTTTGTGTTAGCAGTTCCATAGTGGATTTATGAGAGAGCCGTGGTATAAATGCATCTGCTGGATGCTCCATACTGTACTGCCTCCACAGATAGATGCTGTTCCTGATGCCCACAGGTCCACAACCTAAACTCACACACCATAAGTATACTGTCAAGAGTAGTGAATCATTCAATTATCTTTGTTCTCCAATCAAGGAACTAGAACCATCCCAATCGTATGTAATGGGGTGTATAATTAATTTGCCTGGACGCAGAGGTGCATTTAGGTGCTTGATTTATTTTTCCTTGACATTATAGCCATGTATGTTATAGAAGCCTGATTGCTTCAGAGAAAAGGTCAGGGCACGCGTCTGCCATTCTGAGCTTGGCTTAGCATGAGATCACGCACAGCAGATAATGTGTTTTCTATTTCATTTCATCCTTGGGTAAGAGGAGGAGGAGAGAGTGAGAGGAGAGTGAGAAAGGCCTTTCCGTGTGCAGCCTCATAATGTTGCGGTTTTCAGATCTGGGGGCCCTTCCAGGCCATGAAAGAGATTCTGGCTAGTCTATCGCAGCTGGTGGCTTGAGAGAGCTTCCTCTGTCGCATGGACTCCCAGCCAGCCTTCATCAGTATTCCTGAGGAAAGACTTCCTGTGAGTCTGGGGGTCAGCTCCTGGCCCCGGCACCCCTCTCTCTACCCTGCACTGCACACATGGCTCATCCTCTGGCACGCCATCACAGGGCCCATACACCCTGGCCCGGCTCTCAGCTTTGAGCTCTCTGTCTGTGCACCCAGGTCTCCAAAAGTACCTCTACACTGAAACTGTAAATCATGCACTGCTTTTTGTCCGTGCTGAATTTGAAGAAATCCCTTAACTTATAGAATGAAGAACATTGCATGTAACAAATGCTCGGCCATACATCAGCTCTGGACATGCTGATTGATGTTGAAATGGACTAAAAATAAGCCTGCTTTATGATTTGCATCCATAATTGTATGCTTCTGGGAACATTTCAGTTCTATTTTCAAAGCTGAACATCACAGACTCGGCCACGGTCATGTATTCTCCCATGGTTGGCGATATGGTGATTTCTGATTTTAAACAGCGGCCTGATGTGCCAAGCCATACTGCAGCCAGTGCCTCCTCCAGCTCTTCCGCTGTGGTTCCCTCAGCACGCCCCACCAGCCTGTTGGTTTGGTAGGCATTACCTCAAAAGTGGCTGAGAGTCCTGTGGTACCATCTGGTGCCATGAACTCAAACCATGAGGCCTTGTGTGTGTCTGTCTGAGGCGAGCGCTTCAAATGTCACCTCTAAGCTCTAAATTCTATGTGTCATGTTCGTTATGACAAGTAGGGGTTGACAAAGATGTCACACGTGTTGCTTTTTCGCCCAAATCCACAACACAGTTGTGCTGTAAGAGCGGTTGTTGTTGTTTTTACATAAAGATAGGTATACTTGCTAGTTAGCACTAATGGCGCTTTGAGTGTTCCCTTATGTAAATACTTTGCTTGTACTTATTCAGTGTTCTTTGTTTTTTATGCCTTTTTTTCAAATACCCCTGGCTGCCTCTCCTCTTTCCCCATTCATTACACTACCTCCCTCCTCGTCATCCCTGTTGCTCATTTTGACAGAGCCTAGGCTAATAACAGACTCTCTGACTATAGGATGCAGGGGAAATGGTGCGCTCCCTCGTCGGTGGATTGGAACTGATTGTTAATTTGCTGAAGTCAACAAACAACGAGGTGCTGGCAAGCATCTGCGCCGCCATCGCCAAAATAGCCAAAGACAAGGAGAACCTGGCAGTCCTTACGGATCACGGGGTCGTCCCGCTGCTCGCCAAGCAGACTAACACGGTAAGTGCACCCCACTGCTGGAGACAAACAACAAGGTTTTACTATTCAACAACACTGCACTTACTGTCAATAAACAAAAACCCCGCTAATGAGAAAAACATAGGATTCTGCCAGGAGCCTTTTGCAGAGCTGTAGTAGAGCTTGTTATTCTGTACATTGTAAAGACTGGTCTCCGGGGGCCAATAGCATCCTGTTCTCCTGTTCGCAGACTGATGACAGGCTCCGTCGCCACCTTGCTGAGGCCATTGGTCACTGCTGCATGTGGGGCAGCAACAGGGCGTCTTTCGGTGATGCTGGCGCCGTGGCCCCCCTGGTGCGTTACCTCAAGTCAAAAGACAAGGAAGTCCACCAGAGCACGGCTATGGCCCTTTACCAGCTGTCCAAAGACCCCAACAATTGCATCACCATGCACGAGAAAGGGGTGGTCAAGGTCAGTGGTAGATGGATTCACGACTCATTACTTCTGCTTTTTTGGTAGCTTATTTTCAAAGTAGTTATTTCTACTTTATTTGGTGATTTCAAGACTATATCTGGCATAATTACATTGAGGAAAATGTGCTTTGGCGTACCGTCACCCTTGTTTTAGCGATGTGTGAAAAACACTGAGTAATAAACTTTGAAAGGCTGCGACTATTTTCAGAGCCTTTGACCGACGGAGCAGAAACAAAGTGGGGTTTTATTCGACGGCGGAAACATGACTCCACTTTCTAGCCGTCATGGGAATTCAGAAAAGCAAACAGCTCAGTGTGTGCGCAGTGCCATTTCTCCGGTAGACCCTAGATGCCATTACAACACAAGTCAAAGGGCTGTAGCTGGGGGTAACTGTTGCTAAGGTCTGTTCCTGGACATCAGGGTAGAATGCAGCAGCGATATGGTTCACGCCAAAGAGTGGGGTTGGAGCTGTTCAAGGCTACAAGGGAACAATGCTTTTTTTTCCGACTCTAAAAGCTACATCCGCCAGCTTTCTTCTTCACTCCAGTTGTGTCGAGTTCTTCCAAAAAAGAAACAAGTATTGTTTTGTCTAACGTACAAGCCTGTCAGGCTTTTTCCAAGCTCCGCTCCAGAGACTGTTTATGTTTGCCTCTGACAGTGATGTGGAGATTTTATGTTAAGATTTCTCTGTAACTGATGTCTTGTCGCAGATGATAATGTTCCCATATTTCAGCATTTTGGGAAAACATTGCTATCTTATTCTATAATTCAATCATGTTTCACACAAAAAGACTTTCACATGAGAAATCTTTATTTGGCCACCGTGCTCCCCCCATAACAACTGCGATATATATTATGAAGTGGTTATGCCATTGCAGCCAGAATTATTTTTCCCATGTTCATTAAATGGTGTGCTTTAGCTTCATCTGCTGTTATAGTGAATGTGGTTCAACACCAGCTATAATTGGTAGCTGGACTGAACATTGGGTGTTCCAAAACAGTTATGTCCAATTTGCAAAAGTCGTTAAGCTGAATGCTTTTTGTAGTTCGAGCCACGACAAAAACTGGACATGCCTTCCTTTTTTGCTCCCAGTGTGTCTATTTTCGAAATTCTAGCGTTTGTATGGGCGTGAGTATGTGCAAATGCGAGTATTACCACCCTCTTTAATCGTTCTCCGAGTTTGCCCTTATTAATGTACCAGTTAGAAGTTGCAACACCACTTCATAATGTATTTTTGGACTTTTAAAGAGCTTAATTACCAAAGGCCACGTAAGTGCAGCAGCATTGCATTTGTTCTTAATCTCAGACATTGAAACACAGGCAGCCTCATTGTTCAGTCTGATACCTGCCTGACCCCGGAGGAAACATTACAGTGTGAGAGCATGTCAATCTTCTCCATACTGTAATGCTCTGCTTCATGATATACAGGCGACTCGTAGACAGAATGTGTTAAAACAATATCTCCTGTGGTTCTGAATAGGTTTATCGAGGATTGATAAAGCGCCCCGTGTCTAATTTACAGCCCTGTGTGACTGCCTCTTTTATTATTGCAACCATATTTCAAAGAGCTTTTTCTTTGCCACCGAGAAGCTTTCAAAACATGTTCACCCACGTGTAGTATACGGTTTCCAAACGGTCGAAGGTCTCGCTTACTCCAACGTTGGTTTAGAAAGTTACTTTCCTGTCTAGCACACTTAATGGTGTATAGCCTGCTCCCTTAAGATCCACAGAGGAAATCATGCATTGAAAAGAAAGTATTTCACACTGGAAAACACATCAGTGGTCGTCTCCTTCCAGAGCCTTCCAGTTTGGTCCAGAATCAATTCATTCTGAGTTTGAACCTCACTTCCATTTGTTTTGGACAGCACCTACTTACACAGGTTCTTTGTTTCTTAAACTTTTCTGTCAACATCCTCTCACGTCGGATTTTGTTGGAGAAAAGGGATTCAGGTGCTCGTTCTCACAGGAAATACAGTACATACAAGGGGAAAGAGAATTTTTCAGCTAAGAGATGAATTACCCTCCCCGTTTGATTTGACATCCACTCTTGGTATCTCACAGTTTTATTCATGTACAAAATCAACATGTCGTCCCCCTGCGCTTTACAGCACTTCCAAAAGGACTTTTGCTGAAACCATAAATCCTTGTAGACAGCTTGAGCCAGCTATTTGTATTAAAGAGGCTCTTTCACGAGAAAAAGATTTTCTGAAGTAAATTGATGAAAATTACAAAACGCGGATGGTAATTATTGGTAATTTTCAACTGAAGGCATTCCAGTGCGCGGCGTTTGCCAAGTCGTGGCATGTATTTGAGGCTTTTGCTAATGTAAGTGAGAAAAACGTTTTGCACTTTTGTTGCCATGAGCACACTTCTGCCCCGGCGTGGTTAGTGTTTGTTTTATTTATTTTTTCTCTCCCGCGCGGTGTGACTTCAGGAGTGAAAGTGCACAGTGAGGCTGTGGGGGGGCCGAAAATGACATCAAATGTAAGGGAAGGAATAAAAAAGCAATCACAGGTTTACTTCTACGGTTTCCTACCCTCAGCTTTTCGTGTAACATGACTTCAGGTTGTGGGTGTGGTGAGCAGATGATACACGTCTGTTATGACTACCATGTTTTTGAGATCAACGGAGGGTAACGTTTTAGAGCCTTTAACTAAATCATCTCTCCCTCACGCCTGGACCAGAAATGTCGAGCCATGTTCTTTATGTTTCACAGGCACAACATTTCTATTATTAATAATGTAAAAGAAAATGAAAATCTGCTAATGGATTGTAGGTTTGAGAAACACTATGAACCAACCCACCATAATGTTGAGTCTGGAACACTGTCTCCGACCCAAACCATGTCGAATACAGTGAATATTAATTGTTACCATCAAATCAGTTAAACACCCCGATGTATGTTAAAGGATCTTGAACATATCTTCTTTAATAATTGTAATGTAACGTTAAATGTCCGCCCCATGTTTCTTTCTTTTTTTTAAAAGTGTATATTATTTTACTATTGCTAGCACTAGCACTATATTTCACTGAGTGAGTGGGGATTTGAATACTTAACAGTAAGCCTTTCCGCATCTTTCAAAGTTTCATTCCCCCCCCCAAAAAAAAAAAGAAATATGTTGAAAAAATGCAAAGAATAATAAATTAGTTAATGAAAAAAAACATCGAAAGAGATAAAACAACAAGCAGTTGATGAATAAAATGGTGTCATCGCGTACTTTTGCATCCCCACTCACTTACAAAACAAACACCCCGCCCCTCCCATTTTGAAAGAGGCAATTTGTTGGAGAGGAATCTTTATTACAATTGCAAGGATTTTTAATATCCTTCAAAGTCTTTTTAACTACCCACATGTTTCTGTCTCAAACATTTGTCCTTGTTCATGCTCAAATGGAGCTGCTGTGATGCAAGGGACATCTCAGACTTGATCTGACAATAAAATGTAACATTTTAATTCTCATCTGCCATGTGACACGACAGGTTAGTCCAGGCTGAACGTTTCCCCTTAAAGTCATTGATTTGAGAGCAGCCCACCCTCCTCTTCGTCTTCCTCTTTAGAGACACAGAAAAAGCAACTTAACAGTCTCTGGCTCGCTGGAGGCTGCAGGGAATGTTGTTTACTTTGACTTCCCTCACCAACTTCCCCTGAGCCCAGCTAAACACTGCTGTCTGTTTGTGCTGTTTGCCTCCTCAGTGGAGTCTAGAACATGGGAATGCTGGGATACAGTGTGGATGGGGATGGGGGGGGGGAGGGGGGCATAATGGCTGTCAGACCTGGCACATGGGAATTTACAAAACCTGCAGGCAGCCGTGGTGCAACAGAGCACACTTAACACCACGACACCTCCTTGTGCGATAAGGTGTGCATGCAACAAGTCCTCCCAGACTTCACCCCCCTCCCTTTAGCCAGAGGGGGGAGCGTGTTCCGCGGCTCCCTTCTTGGAGGTCAGGACTCACTGGAGCTCTCTGAAGTGCAAAATCCTCAAAAATTCACGACTTAGTTTTTCAAACACGGGCAAGTGTTCATGTCAGGCAATATCCAACAAGTGGCGTATTATATTCCTGGGGATCCCAGCTGGGGGGGAAAGAGCGAGCTAGGAAAACGGCCGCAAAGAGAGACACGCTTATCCTAGCCTAGCTGCGTGCTTCGGGAGACCTTATTTGGCGACGTCTGAATAACATGCTATGAGGTTGGCAAAAACGCTGCCTCTGGCACTTCTCAGGCATCCTCTCTTTCCACAAAAGAGGCTTGTTTAGTGGGCTGCATGTTTTCTGGAGTCAGAGGATGTAAGTTTGCTTTTGGAGGTGTTTTGGATGCTATTTAAAAGTCATATCAAACCCCAAAAGCAAATGTTTTCAGAAGAGCTTACATCTTGTAATGCTGCATTCCTTTTCCCACAAAATAATGTGATGATAATCAGGAGGAAGCATATTCTTTTTCTCAGTTTTTCAGCTGGACTTATACTTTGGGTTCACAGCCCTTTCATGCTCACGCACACAAGCTGGCTCACCTCAGCTTTCATCTGTTTTCCTTACACTGTTTATCTTTGTGCTGAAAATCCTGGGAATGTCTTCACTCGGCTTCTTCTTTGGCGGTTTGCTAACCACACAAATGTGCCGAGAGGCGTTTAAGGTTTGTGTGTAATACGGAGAAGGGTCAGGGTCAGCCTCGGCTCTGCTCTGACATGCATACATGAACACAATGATAACTGAGAGGAAATAGATTCTCACGTTTGTAGCACTGATCAGCCGGACACAGATGAGGCAGGAGCCAGTGCTGGACATGATGGGAGAGTTTTGACTAAGAGGGAGAGAAATTGAGAAAATGGAGATTAGCCAGAAGCTTTTAGGATCATTTGATCAGTGGCTGGATGATGGTTTTAAAGGGGATTAGTTCTTGGATGAGTTCCTCTGACGGTGACAGTCTACATATTGTGCTCGGGGTTGCTCAGGATCAACAGGGATGTGGCATTGCTGCGCTGAAACCAGGGAAACAATCCTTACGGTGTTTGAACACCACTTGTAAGCCTGTTGCTTTGTGAAAGAAATCTTCTTCTAAATCCTTTTTTCTTCCCACAAGGCATTGATATATGGCGCTTAAAAGTGCCTCCGACATCTCAGCAGTAACTGTATTTATCAAAGCTTCATTATGTTGAGGAGCGGGGAGTCCTTAAGTGCTTAGTTGAGGGATGTAATGTTGCCGTTGGTTCATTATGGATGTAAACAAGAGCATACAAAATAATTGCCAGTGTGGCTTAGGAAACCTCAGTGGCGCACCGTTGTGATTTTACCCAGAAGCACACACTGAACGAATTTAGATTCACCCATTTAGTATTTACGCTTACGTTTACTTTTATTTTGACTCAACCTCACAGCCGCCCACACACATAACATAGTGATTTTGCTGCAGACAAAACAAGAATAAACCTCCAAAACACATGGTGGTATTCCATATATCCAGTGTGATTCTTTTTGCTTGTTTCTGCATAACCCTTTAACAACTTTAAATGTTCAGTTTTATGGACCCAATAAATGAACCTCCAAAGATAGAGGTTTCTTTAGAGCGCAAACCTTGTTCTGCAATAAGATCTAACGAGATCCATTACACAAGCCACTAATAGTCGGATATAATCTGACCTTTAGAGCGGTGGAAAAGGCTGTCAAGTGGTGTGGTTCATGCTCAGGTTTTTAATGTCGAGCCTGCCCTGCACGACTTTCATCTGAACAAACTTACAGAAGCATGTGCGCTCGCAGCTGTAACCCCTTTGCTGAGGCATGGTTTGGAAGGGTAAAGTTGGACACACACACTGAATACACACACACACACACACACACACACACACACACACACACACACACACACACACACACACACACACACACACACACACACACACACACACACACACACACACACAAACACACACACACACACACACACACACACAGACAGACAGACAGACAGACAGACAGACAGACAGACAGACAGACAGACAGACAGACAGACAGACAGA